TACCCTAACGTCTTCATTAGTTTTCAATGATTCATCTTTAATCATTTACGTACAAATTTTAATCACTTAACACAAATTTAGGGTTATAGTAATGGATCTTAATTCTCAAATCATAGCTCTCTCACTGATTACGTCTAGCATAATTATTTTCATTACATTGACTTTTCACAAGTTTCAATAAAGCCACAAAGTAAAATTAACTTTGCTATGAACAGCTGTTATTGCGCATAGATTAATTCATTTGAGTGATAAGTCAGGTCTTTCATCGACCAGTGTTTAATAGGACTAGAAAAAGAAATGTTTTAATGGTGGCAAAAGACATAACTGATGAAGGAAGTCGGGTTGATTAGGGCCAGTTGGCACTCACTCTGTGGAAAAGCCGCTTTTGTACCGGAAATGAATCGATAGACCCACGGACGTGCCTTCAACTTTTGTCTCAGATTATCCAAAGTTAGTTTTGCAGATTACGAGTGACCCATAAAAAAATTTTTTGACACTGAACTCTGTATTTCCTGACATGCGTCTTTAGTTCAGAGTATTATAAATATTTAAGTAACATTCGTTGACATGTAACAGAAAGTACATGTTTTACGTAAGCACATGAACGTGAGCACTCATGCGGCCCGAAATGTCCTTTTTAAGACGAGCCACACAAGTAACGGAAGCTAGATAAGGTTTAATGTGGACAAGTAGGTACGTATCAGTATCCATAAAATAAGTCGCTCCAGAGATGTTATAAACAATGCCAAGAATCCAGAAAAGTTACCTACGAAGAAGCAGATTCCTATGTGTCGGATTTTTTTTTATGAGATAAGCCTGTATATGAACTTATGAATCACCTGATGGTAAGCAATCGGTGCCGCCCAAAGACACCCGGAACACCAGAGGCGTTACAAGTGTGTTTTCGGTTTTTTGTGGGTTAGGAAATTGAGGATTGTTGCGGAATAAGGGGTTGGGTATATTGGGGAGGGGTGTAATCGGGCCTGTAGTAGCCTCACTCACACGACGAAACTAAACGCAAGCGTTGTTTCACGTTTGTTTTCTGTCGGATCGTGGTATCACTGCGGTCGAGGCGGCCCATTCGTGGCGAAGTATGGCTCTCCCATACTTACAGGTATATACAAAATGTGGAGTTATTTCGAGATTGTCTTGCGAGTTTCGCTTCCCTTGTCAATTAAGCTTGTCGCTCCAAAAGAGAGCAGCCAATAAATAAGTCATCGCAGTCAAGACACGTATTAAGTAAAATAATTTTTGAAGCGACACAATCTTTGACAGCAGTTTTAAAGTAAACAGGATAAACATTTATTTAGAACCACTACTATGATGAAGAGGAAATGTAAACGTTATGAAAATCAAATATCTTACAATTTATTCAGTGCGCTTTTATTTCCCTTTGAACATATACAAATTGTGCTTCACTGGAGACTGAAATGATAAAATGAAGCGGGAACAAACTATTTCCGCTGTCTTCAAGTAGATAAAACAAGTGAAGGGAATAAAGTGCGTTTCAGTGATTTCAATTTACTATTGAAACACGATATCGGTAATAGAATAGCCCATTTATTTACTGAACATGTCTAAATCATCACAATCATTGTCGACTTTATAAAAACGAACAAAAATAGTCAAGTCGTTCTTAAATGTGCTTACAAGTCTTAGCAGCGCGGTGCATTGCTCTTCCGTACTTGAAGGCGTGCTTAATATCGGTCACACGATAAAGCGTGCTCACTTCCTCAAAGCCATGTATTAACGCACCGTTTGTTCGTTATGTAAGAGCGCGTGCTAAGCGCCGCGTCTCGCCGCACCATCGGCCGACCGGGCGACCGACGCGATACGGCACGTGGGACCCCACCTTTACAAGCACCCAGGGCCCACCGACCTAATACAATGGCTGCCATCGAACCGACACAACTTTAATAACAACCGCTTCAACCATTTATTTGGTATACCTTCAAATATTTATTACCAGTGAATAAGTACCTTTAATTATTTATTATTGTTCTACTAACATTAGTATGCGTGATCAACAAGTCTACACTAATTTCCATACAGTTTTGGAATGTCTCAAAATAGTTATGAGTTCATTAGTTTATTACATTTTAGCTGTATCGGTCCAAAGAGCCCAAGTTCGGTACTTTGGAAAGTGCCTCTATATCTTGAGAAAGAGGTCCCAGCGTACAATATTGTCTGGACCCTTGATGTAAATGGAAAATTCTTGCTTCAAATAAATTAGGCATTTGGGAGCTCCAGTGGGGAGCTGTGAGGACCCTAGAGTGATGAGACTAAAGACAGTTTACGAGTTTTAAAGTAAAACGAGTTTTTTACGCTTACATTAGTAGGATGTCGCCTTTACAAATGTGAGAAACTTTTTAACGATATTGTTAAGAGCCTTAACTCTCAGCTACGATATTACGGCATTAAGGCCGGACTAGGCACTAAGGCAGTAGGTACAATAAGCATGACGTATTTTATATTCTCATTAACTCAAGAGGAAGAAGGATGCAGGTTCAATAAATTGCCCATAATTTATGGATATAGGAAGATACTTTGACTGCACCTTAACCTTCATTGCTTACTAATAAGCCTATTACAATTACAAAAGGGAGCCCCATAACCCGAGTTCCTTTGAAAGTGAGTTACAACTTCTATTTTTAGGACACCGAAAATCTTCAAAAACATTTTGTTGGCAACAAATACTTACTTATTATGTGAACCACAGCTTCACAATTATACGCCAACTTGAACCCTTGCGTGTACGTATTCGGAGAAAAATGAAGAATCCTTTATTTTATCATTTATGAGAACAAAACAATATTTATTCAGAGGAACATCCTGAAAAGTTATCAAAGAAAACTTATTCTCCGTTAAAGTACTTATTAAAGCAGCTGTTATTCAATAACCTACCTACGTAATGGGCTTAACAAACTAAGACCACCAATTTCACTTTCATAATACAACTTCGCGAACAAAATCTGTAGCCAACACTTGTTTTGTACTTGTTCGAACTGAAATTACACATAAAGAAAACATTTATTTAAGAAGTATTTCCCTTCAGAAAGATGGTAGCTTCGAAATAGATGGAGAAAATTGCGATAACAAGGTTCTAATCCTACTAATCCCAGAGGAATTTACGCGGGAAATAATGCTTTGTGGAACCGAATAAAATATGAAAAGCAATTCACAAAGAAAGAGTATTACAGTCTATGAAACTGAACTGAAAGTAGGTATTATTATTTTATGCATATTCGATTCACTGTAACACACGAGATGCTTATACAAGGGGTGACAGCAATAAAATAAAAATATAGATTTTAAAAAGGTCGTGCACCATGAAACCCAATTAATTAATTGTATGATAAACTTCCAAAGTCAACATCTATAAGCAATCATTCATGTAAAAATCATACCTGTTAAAATAATTTCCAATTTATAACAAGTTCCAAGCTTCAAAATATTATGCATTCCTATTTTACCATAAATTACCATAAGAAGGAAACACACATAAACAAAAGTCAACAGTTTTGTATAACAATATTGCATCAGTCCATCTAGTTCTAGCCAATCGATTTATAGTATTAGCCACACAATTGTTCGCGAGGTCATAACAATAGTTTATGTAGCCACAGGATCGCTTGAACCATTATTTCCTTTAATAAATTACTGCTTTACACCTGCACGAGGTGTAAGGTTTCGCATTCCTTCAATTTCCTGGTAAATACGTGGCGTTAAAGCAAACACAGGCATTTTAAGCTTTTAGCATTCCTCAATTGTCCACACTCCACACTGTTTAATGGAACAAATGTGGAGTAAAATGGCAAGAACTCTAATCTTGTAATATGTACCCATTTTAATTGCAAGGTCTATTTAATTAAAATTATGTCTATTTACGTACAATATTTCGATTTCGTTGCTAGTTGAATTAGACATGTATTCATCAAAAATGACAACAAAGAAATCTCAAACCGACATTAAATTGAGTACATCGTTCCTCTTAGACACATGACCGAGCTCTACACTTACTAAGTTAGTTAACTATTAGAAGTGAAATTGTAAGGTGATCAGATTTTATATTTTCTAGTAAATATGAAATAGCGTCACGTAGTGTATAAGCTTCGGATAGCAGTCGATCTATCGAGGCGTGGCGGATTTACGCTGCCAGCGATAAATGATCGCTTCTACTTGCTGAATGGCAAGGTTACACGACACCACTTACGAGATCGCATATCGCAATTTTGAGCTTCCTTGGGAATATGTTTGCGTTAAAATGAGTTAAACTGGATTTAAATCAGCGGCAACCGGTTCAGTTGAGCGCAATTTGAACGTAATGTCTGTATTTAAGTGTTGGTCACATCGCGGTTCCTGAATTGTAGTAATATTACACGTTGTAATACCATATAGTGTATGTTATACTTCCGTGTATAGAGATTAAGCTTTGCGAAGGGGTGACAGATCATATTATTACGCTGCAACGTCAACTTTTTTCTACTCGATAATACATAGTTCGATCCTTAGACACTGCGCAACAATCACACTTGGGTTCTGTCGACGTAATTTTATTGATCGAAAAACGAATCAATATAATCCATCCACATATTTTAGAATTATAATCCGTTCTACAATCATCCAAATAAGGACGTTAAAAAAGGAGAATATCTCCTTTTGATACCATTTTTTATTTTATCATCAACAGCTTTTAAATGCCCACTGCTGAGCAAAGCCTCTTCTCATATGGAGAAGGTTATAATATCATAAATATAATGTGGCATAAATCACCAAGCTTGCTTGGTTGCAATGCAATGCTTTGCTTGTTAATGCATTCGATGGTTGGATGGTTGGCGATTTCAAACTTATAATTAGAAATCACTTTATTTATTGTAAAATAAAACCTTCACAATGCGAAACCTCAAATCAATATAGACGTATTTAAAATTAAATCAGTTATTTATTATATGAAGGATGTCAAACGATTTGACAAATCGGTTTTATCGTATGTATTGATAATGCTTGGTCGCCAAATTGTTAGCTTTTCGATCCAACTAAATTCAAAATTGTTTGCTCCATTAGTTGTGCCACATACTCAAACTCATGGGGCTAATTGTCCGGTTAGCAAATCAGGAAGATGTCCTGGAAGTGGTGACGCAAAACAAGGTGGTACAAAAGCTGTACCAATAAAAGTTGGACCAATCGTGAATGTGTCATCATCTGGAGATGACGGTACACCTGGTAGTGGACAAAAAAGAGCCATAAGGCCAGGAAAAGTTCGCTTGGGTTTCATTCCAGAAGAATGGTTTGGTTTCCTAAAACCAATGACTGGCGTCACGGGACCCTATTTTTTAATGATAGGTCTTGCAAATTATTTAGTCAGCAAAGAAATCTTCGTAATGGAACACGAATATTATATGGGTATTTCTCAGTTCATAATGGTATATTATGCTGTCACCAAATTCGGACCACAGCTTGCTGTTTATCTTGATAAAGAAGTCGATGATTTCACCAAAGATTTAGAAAAAACTAGAATAGATGAGCTCAATTTTCATCAAAATGTTATAAAAGAGTCAGAAACTGCAATCTGGAGAGCAATGGGACTAAAAGACTTGATGCAGGCTAAGAAAGAAAATATTGCAGTGCAATTAGAAGCTATTTATAGGGAAAGAGCAATGTTGGTATACCAACGCGTCCGTGGCCGTTTGGACTATCACGTAAGAAAACAACGTACTGTAAACCGTGTAAAACAAAAGTGGATGGTGCAATGGATTTTAAACAACGTTGAAAAATCAATTACTGCAGATTTTAAAAAACAAGCGATGGAAAGTGCTCTTCGTCAGTTGACAGCTTTAGCAGAACAGATGCCTCATAAATAATTTCGTGAAATTATTGGAGAATACATTGGTTTTTTTATAGACTTAGCCATTTTTAATAAACAAAGGTTTTACGTGCCACAGAAATTAATTATTTTACGAGTTGGCACTGTGTTATTAAAATTTTACGAGTTGCCTGCCATATCAGTGTGCAGATTGCTAGTATATCACTATTGTAGTTACATACGACAGCGGATAAATCATGTTTTCAAAATCGATTTATATTTATATTCAAATTCTTTTTGTTTCCTTCGATTTACCGATACTTCTCGCTCAAATAGAGGGATCGCGTGAGTTTTCTATTTAGTTAATGCTTGTTACATTGTTTTATCACTGTAGAATTGGAGTTGATATTGATATTATGTTTTTCGAAATAAAAATATTTTATTGAACTTTTATTTCTATATAACTAGTTTGTTATTGTACCCGTGTCTGTTCACATTCTTTTTTAGATGAACTATTTAAATTAGACTGGCACATTCGGTGTAAACTACAGCCCAATGGTTACGACTGTACTAGGAATGAATCAATGTCCCATAGGTAAGAACTAATTAATATTATTTCTTATTACTTTTTGATAAAAACAACTTAAAACTATGATGTAGCAAGTTCAATAATATAAAAATATGCTGTTATTCGCATTGTTTTGAAATTGTAGGTTCTATGACATTACTGTCTTTAACTGGAAAGAATATTATCTAGGTAATATTTATTTCATAGAATTTTAATATTTCTAAACGTCTTAGATCTTCAGATAAACATTAGGCAATGAGTTCAGCAATTCATGAACAATAATTTGTATTTGCATTATGTAAATTTTTAGGGTTCAATTGTAATTTAATAATTCATTGTCATTTAAGGTTTTATTACGACCTGAAAATGAATGCTTGCAAAACATTCCAGTATGGCCTTTGTGAATTGCAATTCAACGGTTTTCATTCACTTCGAGAATGTTCCTCTACATGTGAAGGTGAGTTTAATACTTATAATTATTTAAGATTACGACAACGAACTTCGTAAGTGAGTATTTGCTACTTTTGAGAGCAACGCGGTTAGCTGCTCAACGCATATTGACGTGAAGAGACTAACGACAATATTGCATTCAGTCGCAATTTTGTTTTGAAACTTTTTTACCCGAGTTATCTTTATTTGATTACGACGTATCTATTTTGTCAATTCCTCTCTTATTTATTTCGTCAAGATGCAAGTACCTCGATAAATATATCCCGCTTGTGCCGTAACTAATAAATTTAATATGATTTATTATTATTGTGTGTTTTAATTTCATTGTTGATTTTAGTAATTGGACATCAATTTCTCACCGAAGAAGATCAGGCTAAAGTTTCTGACGATACAATATGTCGCTTGCAATATGACTTTGGATCTTGCAACAATTACTATCCAATGTAAGTTTTTGCACCCTTTAGATACCTATTTTAAGTTCAAATTATCGAAAGCATAAAGGCCCATCACACCAAATACATGAAACGAGAAAATTCTAGTGTAGTGGCCCTAACTACAATTCTTTTTCTATGTCATGGGATTAATACGTTTAAAAAAATATGATATTTCTTCCATAGAATACCATTTTATGAGATTTTTTTTTACTTTTTCTGATGACGAAGGGAAACCTTCAAAAGGCGCTTAGCATTTCGAAGAGAAAGACTAGGACGAGGACATGTGGAGTTCTTACTTCGTTATAACCTCCCCATTGGCCACCATTAAGGGGCATTTGTTTTTACCCACAGGTCTTACTTTATTGTATGTTTATCTACAGGTGGTACTTCGATGTGACTGAGCGTACTTGCAAGAGCTTCTCTTACAGTGGCTGCGGAGGCAACAATAATAGATTTGCAACACCCGGCATGTGCAACACTAAATGTCAAACTGCTGTCGGCGATTATAAAATAGTAAAAACTATAAAGAAAAGTCTATAGACTAAAACACAACTTACTATTATAGTAAAAGTAAATGTATTAAAGTTAGGTAATTCTGTACAATTAAAAACTATTGTTAGGAATACCTACTGGTTATGTATTATGCTTTCCTTATATAAATAAACTTATTGATTAGTAGGTAATATGCAGTTCAGCGGAACGAGACGATGATTTGTTAACTAAGAAAATGATAATGTGCTACTTATCAATCGCTTTAGTAGTGATTTCTTATCGTTAAAGAAAAGGAAAGCATTTCTACGAAAAGCGAGAGAATTATCAATTGCGGTTTTGCGGTTAACAATGATTGACCTCAAAGAGCCGCTTGGCCGGTCTTCATTGCACCGAGGACCGAGTCACGATTCAATGAAAGTATTATATTATTTGAACCCCTATTGCATCATTGCCACAACCTATAGATAACATGTCCTACCCCAATAACTAAATACTCGTTTCTCGACCAGCGATAAATCAAAATAATTATTTTATTGCTAAAAATGTTTAGGTACTCACAAAGACACAAAGATTTCTAATGTATTTTTTAAATTCAATCGAATGAAAATAGTAATGAAAAATTTTCGATTGAATTCTAAAGAGAAATTGAGGATAAACAATTAATATCTCCGTCATTTTTTGTGTTGTAAATCATTGGATAAAATGAAATAAAAAATAACCGCCTCTTTATTAAATAAATGCTTGTCGCTGTCATCTGTTGGTGTCATTAAATCCCGTTAGGGTCACGGTCCATAACTGAAGGGAGGGTTGAACGCAGGATAGACGCTTGGAGCATTGAGAGCAAGGTCGTTGTAACGCGCGAGGTGCTGGCGCAAGCGGCACCCGCTCAGCTGCGGCTCGCGGCTGCACGCCAGCTTCCTACAATAATTACATTGGGCCATCGCCCTCAATTAGAGACGCTCACGTTCGAATGACTAGCTCCGAGCGTTCCGGCGAACCGACTGAGTTCGCTTGCACCCCGTCGCTTAATGCTAGTGCGTGCACGTGTACTCACGAAACCGGTTCGGCCAGCGGGCGGACCCAGTCGGAATCTTGAGAGGCGCATTCGGACCTAATAAGTATGTGGACTTGCCTCTGATGACTAAGCATGCTGTTACATCCGATTTAATGCAGCCACATATTCCAGGCTCGGTATTTTTCATTGAAGAAAAGATAAAAAGCAGTCAACGCCCCTTACAAGCGCAGGCGCAGTCATATCTCTACTTACAAGTAGTAACAGTAAATACCTATACTCCGTCTGTTTAGGTAGTTAACTATTTGTAAACAAACCATAAAAAGAGTTCTTTATAGTTGACATTTCCATGATTCAAAATACTTCGTAAGAAAATAAAATTGTTTCCCTTTTTACGACAGTTTTCTCTATTAAATGTTATGTTTCTGTTCCTTTTCACTTATTTCTTAATAAATATTAAATATATCTGCTTGAGGATATTAATTTAATAATATTTATTAAATAATATAATATTTCATTACAATAGACACCATAAAGAACCTAAAATCCCAGGTATCCAAAACGTTTCTTTAAGAACGAAGCAAAATAATGTTGTCAAATTAAAGAGTACAACGAAGATGTAGCGCGACAATGAAAGTAGCGTGTATTACGTTTAGTCGGTTAATCAGGCGCCATTGACAGCTCTCTCGTCGTTTGCGCTCGCGTTCCTATTTTGTTGAATTTAACTTGTTTCTTTGTTTTGTTTTTGTTATTAAGTTATTTAAGTTTAGGTTATTCATCGTTTGTAATTAATGTGTTCAAATATATTGAAGAAACTTGGCCCAAAGACAGATATCCGTACAAGAAATCCGTAAATCAGATTCAGAATAGTTTCTATTTAAACATGATAATAATATAGACCCATAGGCTAGGCTCTTGTACGATTTAGGCATTTGTACTTGTATGTGTGTATATGACAAATGAACGATTTTAAAGTGAATTTAGTTAAAATTAAAACACGAGAAATATTTGAAGTAATAGTAGGTTAAGTATCTCTGTGTCACGTGGTTTTCTTTGTTTACCTTTAGTTAATTACCTAAACAGATGGACTATAGGCAAGTTGAACTTGAGAGATTCTTATTTTTGTATGTTTGAAAACAAAAGTAAGAACCTACTTATCATGTACCTACATGACCGCGATATCTTTACGTTCACTACAACTATAACGTTATGCGTTTGTTTGTCTTTACTGCGCCTGTCTTTTTCCTGTAACGAGTTAAATAAGGGTATTGTTCTCCGTCACTCTGAAAGATCAATGCAACAATTTGAAATTCAACTATCGACGACATGATAATTAAAATAGTTTCCTGATAAATAATGATGTAAGATCGATATTAACAAAAGATTAGTTATTTATTTACGCAGACAAGAAAGCAGTAACTACTGATTGAGCCACTAAATGAAGATCTCTGTATGTTAATGAAAGATGAGTTGACCGCAATTATATATGTTTTCATGAGTCAGGAGTACTAAGTAATCGGGTTAGTGGTAATCTGGGGGCGAGAAAAAAGCCTGACATAGCGACTACCCCGAAATAAATTAAATTAATGCGGCCTCTTTCCATTTGTCGCTAAGCCGGCCTGGTAATCTTACAAGAATTTCCACGTATAAATCTTAACAGTTGAGTCTTCATGTAATTAAGCATTTTATTATAGTAAGTGAGTTCTATCTACTATACTATTTATTTATTACCTTTCTGTTCCAGTGATCTAGCAAGCCTAAATGTAAGTGAAACTATCTGGCCTGGCCTTGTGTTCGGCATTCATATACTTATTCATATATTCATTCATTTAAAAATATTTTCGACATTCTTAGTAGTAATGTGGGATTTGTTATTAATAATAATGTTTATTACTTTTAATCAATAATTATTTAAAAATAATACAAAAGTACGTTTGATATATTACGACTGCACGCTTCCATATTTTTTTACGCGAATGCAGGCTAACGTTTGTATCATGTTCATTCAAGAAATTCCCAAAAACCGTCCAACGATGCATTATACGACAGCCGAGATACACACAGATAAAATTCCAAAGTCAAATCACACACCAGAATACAGGCAGATCTTTTTTCTGTTGATATTTGTATAAAAAACGTTATTTCGAATTAAAATGAGCGACAGGTGACTAAAACCGCATTCGTATACCGTTATAGTAATCAGTTTTGTGCAGCTCAAACCCTTGAGAAAACTACCTGCGAACCAAAGGCAATTATACCCTACTGATGTATCTCTGATATCACAATTTATTACCAGACCTCTAATAACCATGTTTACCTTAAGGTAAACCTCAGGTTAACCTACGAACGTGTTATCGTTTCATTGAAACAACAGTTACGTGTTTATTTTAACATAACTTATAACATATATTATAATTAGGACATGCATACTCTGCTGCCGCAATTACATGTGTAATACTCAATAGTCGAAATAAAGTCAGAAAATACTCATATTTTTAAATATTATTTAAACTGTCAAACACCAAGCGGTCACCGGTGACCGCAACCTATTGTTCTTTAATTGTGTCTATAAATACGGTACTCGACGAGTTAAGCTTCTTATTGAACTTGTTGATTAGTACTTGCAGTAAAATATCAGAAGAAACTCGACAAACTTGTGGTACGTCAACACGAGCCAACAGCACAAGTAATTAAGCAAATAAGTGCACACAACAAGTCTTCAAGTTGTAAAGTAAATTGTGAGATCACAATAAACTTGTTGTATGGAATAACAGTAGGAGCACATTTACAATATTATTGTTAGCAGTAAGTTCCAAGTAGCTAAAGAGTGTCTCTTTTAGCGAATGGTTAAATTAAGGACTCTGTTTGACCTTTATCGAACTATCCATGTCGAACTATCAAATTAGTCGTCTACATGATCTACCCCATGTAGACGACTAATTTTTATTTTAATGTCCGTCTGTTAGATTATTTAAAAACATTACACACGTATTTTTTATTTTCTTATGGAAACGAATAGTTTCGAAGATATTGATTTGAAATGTCGCGTGACGTCACTTCTCAGTACATTTTATACTGAGAAATGACGTTTTAGCCCCCACTCCTAAACTTTGATTCGTTTTATCTAAGTATTGTTTTATTATACGACAAAATAAAAAAATACGTGTCCTATATTTTTTAATTACCTAACTTACGGACTAATTAGATTTTTAATTTTCATACCTTGTCATCATCCCCATTAAATCATATTAGGACTGTGTAAATACTTTCTACTAACACATCAAAATCTGGCCCTGCAAGATATAATAAAAATAAATATTCAAACAAAAAGTTTCGCCACCACGATATTTAAATAACAGTCAGTACTACTCAATACTCAAAAGCTTCATAATGTGATCCTAAAGTCTCCCTTTACCATCAGCGTTTAATTAGAGAGATTAAAGCTGGTACGAGAATCATGGAGGACATCCCACGCCCATCAGGGGTCAATATAATAAGTGTAGTGACATTCAGTTGTCGTAACTGATCAGTAGCCGTGACGTTGACAGCTATAGCTGTTGGTTGATAGCTTCTATAATTAGTGCTTAACTTCTTCCCCACACTGTTGCATGAAGTACTTATGAGAAGAAAATGTTAAAAACTTAGGTAAAACTGTAGGAAGTGTTGTACTAAATCCAGAGCTGACTGTAGGTATAGGTTCATAATAAAAATTCAACAGGGAAAGTGGATTAAAACCAAATAGTTAGTAAATCATAAAAGAATTGTTATAATCGTTTGTTATTTGGTGGGCGTCACTATAACTAGTCGCGCCATTTAACAGAGAGTTTGAACAATAACTGCGTCTACCAGTAGCCAAGTGTGTGCGCTGACTTATAGAGCGCCCCTAATGTTCGGGAGTTCGCTCAAACTTGACGAGTTGGTTCAATTGACAGTGGTCCAATTGGAGATGAAGATAAAGCTCGCAACCAAATTGAGGTCAGAGTTATTGGCTGAATATGACCTCGTCAAAGTTTCAAAAGCCATTTGGTCGATGAAT